AATTTGAATGCCATCTGTGCCAACTCCAGAGCTCTATTAAAGATGTTATTTTTACGTTACAGTGTTGTGAATGATTGAGGGAGTGTGACACGGTGCTGGTTTGGTTTGGGAGGGGGTGGTTTGAAAGGCAGCTGAAGCCAAATGGATGCAGGGGGCTTCTTGACTGGAGGGGAAATAAATGAGGACTGGCTCTGTAGAATATGGAAACCAACAAGGCAATTTTCTGGCAAGGCCTCTGGATGGCAGTGTCCCCCAGTCCTGGAGAGCTCCACTAGCCGATATCCGGCTCTGGGAGACTGATCCATAATTACTGCCAGACAAATAATTGGCTTTAATTCTAGGTCTGTGGCCACACAGAACACAATTAGTTTTATGTCAGGCAAAACATTTTGATGTAAAAACAAAGGGTTTTGAAATGCCTAAAACAAGATGTCTCGGGAAGCTTTTGTTGGGTGTTTTTAAATGAAACACTCATCCCTTATTTGCAGTGGGTTCTTAACGTTTTCCCCTCTTTGCCTAAATGCGACCCAGACTTGCTAATAGTTGCTGTTATTCTAAAATAGCTTTCCATGGCAAAGCAACAGGTTGTTTTTTTCTTTCAGCCAATGCTTCTTTTTTTTTTATCATGCAGCTGAAATATAATTGTGGCTGCGGAGGTATATAGAAGGATGTAACCCTCCAGCGGAAAGGACCCTCTTTATGCAACAGAGCTTAAGCAAAAGCAAGGGAAACCAAGGGCATGGCAGAGCATTAATGAGTGCCCCGGCTACACGCGATGCAGGGGAAGCATGGCTGTGGCTACCGATGGTCAAGTGAGCCAGCGCAAGTAGCTATGAAGTGATTTCCTGCCCCTGCCGGTTCACCCTTTTCTACTCTGATCCCTGCGACAATGACAGATGTGGCTTGTTCACACAGTTCATGCACCAAAATGAGCTGTTGTCTTGGGTCTGCTGTGCAGCACCAGGGAATGGGAGTGTATTATGAGGGGGCTCAGAAAAGTTTTCGCTCTTCAAAGCTCAGGTTCCCATAACCCACTTGCCTACTACGCCTGCTTTCCGTTCCTCTCTAGCATTCTGCACTTATTCCCTGAACGCTTGCAAGGCTTAGAGGCAATGGATGACAGTCGGGAAGGTAAGGACACGCTCACAAGACGGCAGGGCAGGGAAGGGGCTGCTTTGTGTGTTAGCATGTGCAGGGCTTTGAGGTCTGGAGTTTGTAGGACTGGCTGGTGGCAGAGCTGCGGGTGGGTCTCGTAGTTGTTCCAGTGGATGTGCCGCAACTTTTCCAGTCGCTGATCTCAGTGTAGCACTGAGGGTAGCCTAGATGGAGGAACTTGGGCAGCATGAACAGAAGTTAAGGGCCAGCATGACAAAGCCCTATAGGGGAAGTATTTTGCTGTGCTTCTATTTCCTAGCTGTGCACCCTTGCATTAGCTTTGCCCCTAATGTACTTGTTTCTCGTGTGTGTGTGTGACCTTTGCATTGGTGTAATGTGTTCTTGACCATCATAGAGACTTCTGTGCCTCCCAAGTACAGCAGGTAGGACCACTGTGATCCTCTTGCCCCCTCTATGCCTTGATGTAGACAGAAGTTTTCTCTCAGGGGGGTGTTTAGTCCCTTGAGCCCTGCCAGTAAAAGTGCCAAGCCTAGGGAAGTGTTGGTGATGTTAGACACCTGTCTGCAGTGAACTGGGCTGGGACCCACCCACTCCTTTTGCATAGGTCACCCAACAGATGGGAATTTCTGGACGCTGGATTGGAGCCAGCAACCTGGAGATGAAAAGCTGCCTTTCCCGGTAATGAACCCCCAGGCCCTTCACCCTCACGCCCAACACAAGCTTTATTTACATCTTTTAAAACAAAAGCACTTGGCCTGTTTGCTGAAGCAGCAGTATTCTCCTTCCCTGCTCCCTGAGTCAGTGTTACTGTCAATATTTGCCTTGCAAGAACAAAGCCATCCCAGTGGACTGAGGTTTAGGCTTCAGGCAAGGTGTATTACTTATCCGAGGTATCCACATTGTAGTCATATTGGTCTACAGGCAAAAGGAATCAGAACTCGTGGTAGAGGTGATATCATTTATTCGACCAAATTTTTTTGCAAAAATCTAGTTGGTCTAATAAAAGATATCACCTCTACCGTGACTTCTGATTCCTTTTACCTATCCCAGGCAGCGGGCAGAAACTCCTAGCTTAACAGGGAAGTGCAGGCCATTTCGTGGTGTTATCTATGATGGTCCTCCTTTGTTTCCAAGGTATCTCCAGCTTGTGCATCAGTCTTGGATCCTGTTAGAATTAGCCGTGCAATGTCGAAGAATACCTCCTGCTCTTGAGAGAGCTGGGCTGTGCCCCTGGTCAGCCTTGCTGTACAAATTGACCCTCTTCCTGCTTTCCAGAGTAGCCTGTGAGCATAGTTCAGCAGCAGGGTCTAGACCGGGGGTGGGCAAAATATGGCCCACCAGGCCATTCTATCCGGCCCTCAGAGCCCCTAAAAAAAAATTCGAAAATTTAATATTTATCTGCTCCTAGCTGCCTATCATGCAGCCCTCCATGGCTTGCCAAAACCCAGTAAGCGGCCCTCTGCCCAAAATAATTGCCCATCCCTTATGTAAACCCTGCATCTGCTGAGAGAGAATTGTTCTAAGTGGGGTTGGGCCACATCTGGAGTGGACTGGGCCCCTTCCAAAAGGAATAAAAATGTGGATGAGCCTAGGCTGGAGCCATGTACTTCTCCTCTCATAGCGCTTGGTGAGGAGGGGCTGTGTGCTAAGGCAGTGCTCAGATAAACATCAGCACTAACTGAGCCACTTTCTCCCCTACAGGCAACTTTTGAAACCACAGAATTTGTCAGGCTTGAAATTTTTCAGGAAGAATCTAGTCTCTCCAAATATGGCGCACACGTTCTCTCTCTCCTCCCCCAAACCAAGCCTGACACTTTTTCAGATGCTATCTTATGTATTGCACAGGACTGGGATTCGAGTTTAGCTTCTCTGCCAGTTGACAAAATAAAATCAACTCTTGATCCTATTCAATTTAGTGCAGAGAAGTGCCTTGGCCCCAAGTCCAGCTTTGGAAGGTGTGGGCCTGCTGGGTGGGGAAAGACTTGGATAAGCATGGAAGTTATCTGTTTCCGATGACCTGGGTTTGAACGGGGTGCTTGGGCAGGGTGTTGTCAAAGAAAAGCAAGTGGCATATCATGTTTGAAGGGGAGGAAGGACAGTCTACTGGACAGGGTGCTGGACTGAGGCACAAGAGACCTCTGTGCCGTATCTGTTTTGGCTCCAGGCTTCTGGTGTGGTGTCAGGCAAGTCACAGTCTGGATTGTAAACCTAGCCACAGGACAAGAGTGATTGCACCAGTTTGCCCCTTGCTGTGTCTGGTCCTAGCACTATGCGTGGGCAACCCTCTAGGCCTGGCCCTCCTGGCATTGGAGGGTGCCAGAGTGCAGGGTTAGACTGCTGCGGGAAGTGACAGGCTTTCTCTGGTCACAGGTGGGGGTCCCCAGCGCTGGCTGTTTCCTTGTGACTGCCACTAAAAGGAGTCTTTGAGGCCACTCTGCTGAGCCTTCCTGATTCTAGGATTTTTTGTGTCTTTGTCACAGTGGCATTTGCATTTGCTCTGTGGTCAGAAACACCTGGGGGTTGTGGAAGGTTTCACAACCCCTGCCTGTGCACGATCAGGACTTCTGCAAACACACGGTCTGTGTCCAGTCTCTTACTGGAGTCTGACTAGCTGCCTCCACAGGCTAGCCATTGCTTGTTTGCCATCCTGTGATGGGTTTTGCTCTGTCTCTGGGGCTAGCATGTGCTAATCTCTGTGTGATTCTAGGGTCCAATACAAACTTCATCAGAACAGGCCCCGGGTTATGGCACTCCAAAGCTTGGCTCTCAAGGACCAGCATCCTGCAGTCAAGGTGTGCAGTAGGGATCTACAGCTCCATCCTTTGAGACCGCTTAAAAGAGAGCAGGCTTGTGCTTCGGTAAGGGGCTGTGGTTTGTCCTTTGTCAGGGCTGAGGGCTGCCCTGCAGGATGTTTCTCCTCTGGAGAGTAGCACGAGCAAGCTGCAGTAGGAGGCAGGGACATTCAACGTGGAGGAAGCACTAGCCTTGACGGTTCATTGTGCACGTGCATCAGGACCTCTGCAGAGAGCTCCTAAAACTCAGTTAACCATAGGATGCTTTTCATTCTGCCCGTCTAGAAGGGCAGGCCTGCAGCTGAGGCCTTTGAGGCTTGGGTTTTGCTTCCTGCTCCACCAAAGACTTCCCTTGTAACCTCAGGCAAGTTCCTCAATGTCTCCTGACCTTGGTTCCCCATGGTACAAAATGCATTGCTTCATGTAACTGGTGGATTTGGAGGGTAGATTCAGATGCATGTGGCAGGTGGACAGCACTTTGAAAAGCCTGAGCTTGTGTCCTGCTGGAGGGGAAGTTCCCCTTGTCTGGTCTTACTGCAGTTCAAACCCAGTCTGCGAGACCAAGATGCTTGGATGCAGCCCTTCTGGTGGTCCAGTGGGGTGCCAGCCTGCGGGCCAACATAACACTTGCTCCCGACCTGTCCTTTCACCTGTTTTGTGCTCTCAGGGACACCCTGAAAGTGCCTGGCAGGAAGGGGCAGAAGGAAATTCCCACTTGCATACAAGAGGGCTAGAGCCTATTGCAGACTTGTGTACCTCTTGGCCCTTGGGTTTTTCTTGCAATAGCCAACGTCAAAGAGGCTTTTACTGACGGAGAGCAAGAGGAATTTGGAGTCTCCTGCTCTGACTTTAACTGAACCTAGAGTGCTTTAGAGAGCTGGGATGGGAGCGGCAGAGCGATTTATGATTCTACCAGCGCCCAGACCCTAATACTACTGTAGCATCAAGTGAATTACCTTGTCCTGCGGGGGAGTAATTAGAATGGATCAGATTTGCTGTTTGTCTGGGAAGGAGGTTAGAGGGGCTTGGAAGTAGTTGAAAGAACCTGGGCTACGTGGAGCTGAACTCATGTGGGAAGTGTCGCTTGACCTGTTCTCATGTAGCGGTGATGGGCCTGAGCGTTTCACATTTGTTGTTGGTTTGGGCAAGGGTCTGCCTGTTTAAGGAGGTAATTTTATAGGAGGACCACGTACCGTGGCACGACTCTGCTCCCCCACTGGCACTGCCAGTCCTGACCAACATCCTCCTATCCCGGGCTCGAGCGCCTTGCCAAGTTCACTCCTGTCTGCTCAGGAGGAATGCACAAAGTAATGCCGGGGTTTTCTAGGGCTGCTTCTAACTATGATTGTAGATGCACCACTTTTAAAAAGAGAAGGAAGAGGGGTACCAATTGTGGCTTGGGCTTGGCTCAGAGCAGCTCGCAATAAGTAGAGGGTAGGCTGCCTCTTTCTTCCCCATTTGGCTCCCTGGGGGGAGGAGAAGTGAAACGGGTCATTAAGGCAGTGCAGAATAATCAGTGGGTGAGAGTCAACTCCTAAACGGCACGGCCACCCACAGCTGCTCATCAAGCTACAGGCAATGCATACACCCTCTGTGTTTGTCTCCTTGAGCTTCCCTAACGCTAGCGCGTACAGTAATAACCAAGTACTGTACTGAGCCATTTCCCGGGTCTGACATGCCACCGTTGTACCCCAGTTCCCGTTTGGTGGTGGGCACAGTCAGGGTTGGCGACGGCTTGAATTTACCAGCATCTTCACAGCAGAAAAAAGGCTGCCTCTCGCACATGCTGCTGCTGTGTGCGGTGCTTAGTGCTAGTGATTTCAATGGGATGGTGTGAGGTGGCATCTGGAGGATCAAGCAGTAATTGGACAAGTGTTTGCAGGATATGACTTGGGTTTTTCTGTTCTGGTTGCTTTTTAAATCCTGGGGGTTCCTTTCATCTCCAGGCACGCACGTAGCTCAGAAAAAAAGGCTCTTCCCTCTGTTACTGACACCACCTCCGACTACTTGGAGTTATATGTTTCTAAACCCAAAGGTCTACATTTTCCAAAAATAGGCCGTGATTTTTGTGGAGCCAGTTTAACATCTGAAGGGGACTGATTACAGTGCAGATCGCCTGCTCACGGCAAAGGTGGTTCAGGTGGGAATGAAGATCGCTGTTCATTTTGAAAAGGTTGGCCCTGGATTTTGTCATGACTGATGCTCTGTGTTCACTGTCTGGGTCTCATTAGCCTGGGTACTGGAATCAAAGGCAATTTCCTGTTGCTCATTTAGTTGTGCTTGCAGGATCTCTGAGCTGCAGCATTTGAGCTTCACGCCCTGCAGGGGTGTGTGGCTGTGTTTAAAAACAACTGTTTCTAATGGAGGCTGATAAAAAGATTTGCGGTAACACTTCTGGGGGTCTCGGTGTTTCCAATAAGCGCACTTTAATCATGTGCATATGGTCATGTTCCTCTACAGAAGACACTCCCTGGATAAGACGGCTTAGCTCCCTGCAGCTAGAGGCTCCAGTCCCAGCTGACCAACTTCCCAAGCAGAAAAGCCAGGTCCAGGCCGCTTCCTGTGCAGGAGTTTTGGAGATGAAACTTAGAAGTAGAGGTGCTGTCTGACTGCAGTCCGGCTGGCAGAGAGGTTTTTCCAGCAGCAGGCACGCCGCAGCATGGAATTTGCCCCTGTGAGGTGCAAAATAACCCCTCCTCTCTCCTCCAAGTTGTTGGTCTGTTAGTTTCTAAGGGGGGTTGAAGAGGCAGGTGGACAACGCCTGCTCTTTGGAGCTAGAATTATTTAGTAGGGGCTGGAAGCAGACCAGAGGAACGTGTTAGGGGGCCCTTTGGGGTGCAGCTTACTCTAGGCAGCCCTAAGGGCGTGGGTTAACTGGGAACCCTCTTCTAGAGAAGATATTCTCTCCCTAGCTCTGCTTCTCCCTCTGAACAACTTCACCGGAGACGCTGAGTTTCTAGGGTTGCCCCGACCCATTTCGGTCGAGCCGGGTAGGTCTGCTTTCTGTTCCACCTACAGTTCCCAGGAGCAGCTTTGCTCTAGCCACGTTCCTCATAGATGGCTCCTCCTGTCCAAGGGCCTCCGTGCCAGTAAGAAGCTGGAGTGACAGTCCTCGGTGAGGGAGATCAGTATTGTGTCCATTTTACAGATAGGGAAACTAAGGCCGGAAGGGATGAGAGACCAACTGCTTGTGCTCCCGAAGTGAAAATGTTTGGAGACTTGTGCTGCTGTCAGCTTTCTCTCCCCTCCACTTCTGCAGCGAGCAGCTCTTTATGGGGCTGAGGGCAGAGCTCTATTTATTTAAAGAAAGGAACACATTTCTCTCCCCTTGGGGAAGTATTTATTGATCCTGGCAAACATGTTCTCTTGTCCTTCCCTGGCCCTCTCCCTCTGCTCCCTTAGGCTGGGGCTCCTCCCAAATTCATCCTGTCCTTTTGATGCCTTTTTAGTTGACAGTCCAGTGAGCCGTGTCTGCAGAGGACAAGCCCCGTACGCAGAGAGGGCTGAGGGAGGGGAAATGCCAAAGGCAGGGTCCGGCCGCCTTTCTGAGGGAGGGGGAGCAGAAAACAATATTGAACTTAGTGTGAAAATCGCCGAAGCAAACAGACCGGAAAGGCAGAAGGGAAGAGCCTCGCAGGCCACACAGGGGCTAGGAGGGAAGGGAAGAGACGGTCCCTGAAATGAAGGATGGAAGTTGGCACGGGGGTGGGCGCCCCTCACCTGTCACGTGCTGGCACAGGGCGACTCCGCTGTCCCAGCGCAGACCGAATGAAGCGCTGGCACGGTGATGGGTGCACGGTGCAAACCTTTGTAACCAGACTAAAATAGCTGAACTTTTAAAAGTGCATTTTGGTCTAGGATTGCCCCCGCCCCATCCCAGTCGAGCCAAGTCGGTTTGCCTTCTGTTCCAGCCACGGTTGCCAGGAGCAGCTTCGCTCTAGCCACGTTCCTCCCAGGCGGCTCCTCCGGCCCGAGGGCCTCGGCGCTGGCGAGAGTTTAGAAGGGCTCGGTGAGGTGCATCCGTATTGCGTCCATTGCACAGGTACGGAAGCTAGGGCTGGAAGGGACCGCTGCAGCGCAGCGGTCACTTGGCAGGTTGTTATATATACATGCACACCTACATGTGTATACACGTGTGCGTGTGTGTATATATACACATGTGCTCATACATACACACACGCTTAGACACATACATGCTCAGACACACACACTTATATATCTGTACCCACACACACTCGTGCATACACATGCTTAGACATACACACACACGCTCAGACACGGGGCTGCACACGCACACCTGTACATACGCGTATATATCGCTACACACACACACTGGTACACACGCGCTTAGACATGCACACACCTGTACCTGTCCACACGTGCTCGGTACGGCCGCGCGCGCGCGTGACAGCCCCGGGAGGACGCGGAGCCCC